GACGAAAGCAACCGAGATGGTGTCAGGGTTGGGTAACACTCGGCAACTACTCAGGCTTACCAAGGATATCCGCATGTAGGAGACGGTGGTTAGTAAAGCCGTCACCGAAAAGAATAACCTCCTTAGACATGCGGCTAAAACTTTGGGTGGAACAGTCTGAAGCACAGTTCAACCAGACCACAGCAACGTTTGAGTTGGCCAACATCCAGTGTGAACTTAAATGGGACGTAGATATCGGCCTTCCAACTCTCTCTGGAGGGGTTTGGGAGTGCCGCTCTTTGTGGAGTACCAGTCTGGACTCCAGTCACGCGGTAGAATAGACCTGAGACTTTACCACCTGAAGTTTTCAAGGATGGAGGTAGGAAACTGCTAATTAAAGTGACAGAAGTACTAAGTAGTGTATGGGAATCAGAGGTAATACCGTAAAACTGGTCTACTTCATTGATCATCCCAGTCAATAAGAAGGGCAAGAAATCTTATGACAACCATAGAGGAATTAGCGTGATTAGTCTCCTGTCCAAGGTCCTTGGGTCCGTAGCTATTTGACACCTAGGTTGGCGCTTGAGATCAGTAGACTCGAGAAAACTAGGCAGGTTCCAGACTTGGACGAGGCTGCATCGATCACATCTTCACCCTCCAACAGGTTCTGGGATAGAAGTACACTTACCAGTCAACAGCCGAAACTTGCCATATTTGCTGACTCTATCGATCGTGAGGTGTTTTGACAGTGTCTGACTATGAAAGGAGTACCGAGTAAGTGTATAACGCTATTCAAGGTTCTCTACTGGAACTCACGCAGCCATTTCAGGGCATATGGACAGTTCTCATTTGAACTAATGACAACTAGTGCTTTTCGCCAGGGATATCCACTGTCATCATTCTTACTGAACTTCATCACAGACGTACTAATGAACATAACTTTAGGTAAGTCTAACTTCATAAGAATTGAACTACTCTTTGAGGTGGTCAGGCTGACTTGCAGTATGCAGACGATGTTATCCTGCTAGGTGAAGACGCTGACAAAATGCAGGGTATTCTGGACACAGGCAGAAGTTCCAGTATGATCGGCATGCATTTAGCTGACACCTGTCAAATGCTCCAGGATTGGTCTGCTGATAGTACAAACAGTTGGATGATAGGGAGTGAAGTGGTGGAATATGTCGATCATTTCACTTACTTGGGGAATTGCATCAGCTCGAACTGGGTGATCGCTGACGGGCGGGATACCAAAGGCCTGTTTGGCATTTCCCAACTAGTCATCCGTGACACCAACTGGTGAGATATCCGACTATCCATCTAGCAATGGAGGAGTATACTGCGCTGCAGTTTGTGCTGTCTTAAGACGGCTGAGACACAGGTGCTAAGAGTGGAATACATGAAGCAATTACAGGTTTATGATCAGAGATTTCTTCATAGTATTGCTCACATTTGGTGGAATCACTGTGTGAGCAACGTTAAGATCATGTGAAGCGTACTAGGCAAGTCGAATGATGAGGTTGTGAGCCTTAGTCGACTGAGGTGGCTTGTACATGTATTGCGCATGCCAAGAGACCCCATAGCTCAACGTGCGATGCTACGAGTTGGATTAGGTTTCGGCGTGGCCAGAACAAGACCTGACACCAGTCGACAAATTCTCTGAATGTTGGTCTGATTCGTGTAGGGCGGTGTAGACTGCCTGGTTGGGATTCATGAGACGAAAGTAATCAGTGGCTGAGAACTCTTGATGACATGGTTGAAAACCTGTCACAATGGCACAGATATCTTCTAAAGCTTAAATATTTACACTAATCGTTATCTTCAGATTGTTTGTGTCACACGACTTTTTCTGCTATGATATCACTCTTTTTCTACTCACCTGTTCTTTGTGTACTACTGTCAAGTATGGCAACTGTATCCAATGCACCTGTGTACGAGGTTCTACGTTGATTTTATTAGTTAGTCAGTTAATGTTTAAATGCAGTTTCTTACCTTAATATGACTGTTTGGAAATTCGCTGTTGTCTGAATGGTTGAAGTTGAGATAGAATTCAATCGGAACTTGTCATCTTCACCGTATTTTAACTGGAACCTATACGTTGGTTGCTGTTAAATCAACTCGAATGTTAGTGTATAGATTTATGAATTTATTTCTATTGAATATAGCAACACCAATTACTTTTACGGGAAAAACCATTTTCGACTTCATATGACTCTCCGGTTCTTCTACTCAGATGAATATTACACCAAGTGTTACTAAATGTTGATGCCTTCTTTATGTCTCACTTTCGCCACCCATCACTGGTTGCAATCATTACGAAAACTCTTAGGCCATTTGCGTTTTAACTGTTTACGTTCGTCTCTGGGATAAGTCAGAGTCTTCTCACATGTGTTAGTTGGGATAAGAATTCGGAAATCTACTGGCTCTCGTTAATCTTTGTGCTGTGTGAAATTGTGACTCAGCTGACCTCCAACTGGTGGGACACTGGTTATAACCTCGTCGCACCCGAAATCTGGGTGGTCAAGCAGTTTCACAAGCCCTCGTACAACAGATGTGACTCATTGCTTACTACAAGAACGTGTACAAGGTTTCTGAGTGAATTTCGATTTGTAGGTTACCAACTGTCTTTATCGATATTTCTACAACAGAATGAATATCACGTCAGGCTTAATCAGGATGAGAACTGCTGTCACGTTCAAATGAATGCTTAGGTATTTACTCCCTTAATATGCACCTGATGCTCCTATCTTCCAATATGGTATACGCAGACTTCACCGCCGCTTTTTTCCTGTGACCAGTAAGGTACGCGTATAAATATGCCTGTAACAACTTTTGATTAGTCCTAGCACGTACTTCAGTAAGAGCGGCTATTCTCTCTAAAGGTAGTTCATTGCAATATGATTCATGCACATCACTGACTTGATATAGGGGGAGGCCATATGAGATACTGTTTCTCCTTATACTTGAAGTCAGTGTCTGCAGAAACAAGGGATTTTCAGAGCAGAAATAGAAGCAACCATTGTCAATTCGTTGGTATGGAATCACTGGGATACTTCCAAATGGCTCAGATTTCCAAAATGAATGTTGAAATCACCTGGTACTACGATTACATCTGAACGTCTTGGTTCATCCTTTGTATAATCCGAAATATAGTCGGCGGATACTATGACTTGTTTTCAATAAGATTCACGACCCTTTCCACCTTTTAAATATCCATCCAGTTGGACAGCGCAAAGACGGCTGTTGACTGGTACCCAGTCGAGAAGTGCGCTTTCTGCCCGAGAACTTAGTCCCACATCCGTACACGCGACTTAACGACAGCTCGGTATTGAACTTTCGAACACTTTTTAAGTTAATTTTCAAGATCTGTCCCATTGGCTAGATGATGTGAGGTGACTAACCCAATTTGCGTCCTGTATACGTGTCTCAGGGAAACAACGTACATCCACAGCTCGAGACCCAAGAGTTCTAGGAAAAGATGTCTGTTTTACGAGTTGATAGCAAAAAGGAGACATAGACTCCATCCTCAAACAATAGGGCAAATAGTTAAGCGCTTAATCAGAAACATGTTCGCGAAATAAACATCTGGAGGAGTTTGCTCTCAATCGAAGAAACAATCCAGTCTCTTATAACGGGTATGGGGAAGAGCTACGAAAATACTGATCAAGACAAAGTATATACCGTTTGGATAGCTTCGGAAGCTCCTAACCAGTAGCCATACATCGCGTGAAAGCCACTAAGATGTATCACCATACTGCCTATAACACCCCATTTCTAAGCCTACACTAAAAATCTCATCCTAGTGGTATGAGAAGGCATGAACTAAATCTTGTTACAACTCTTTTGCACTTCAGATCTGTAGACTATGTCATTCCCTTCCTGAAGATTTTATGACTCTTTCATCTCATGTTTGAGAAAGCTGGCTAGACATGCACCTTGAGTCTTGTAGTCGAAAAAGGCTGTTTCCTTATAGTCCGTGGACAGTATTCAACTCAAGGGATAAGGAAGAGCGAAAAATGAATAAAATTTTTGTCCTTTCAGTTGTATTCTGAAATGACGTTTGGTTTTTCAAATCAAAACCTCACGAAAGCGTTGAGATCACCTGCAGGTGACGCATCAATATCACAGACAGTCGGTATATTTCGTGATACCTCAGAATTGATCTATCTGGCAAACTTATGATCAGAGCCCAACTTGAGCACGGTTTGCACGAGACTTCAATACACGTTAAAGAGATAACTCAGTGATATTAACATATTTCTCACCTAAGATGTACTAACTGTTCTTTTGAAGGGGTACATATTATATTCTTGTTAACATCACACTACAGAAGTCGATTGAGATTAGTCCTTCGACTAAGTATCTCATGCTACTTCTTTTGTGCAGAAGGTGAGATCCTAGGAGAAATAAGAATTGAAATTTCTGTCAACATATTGCTTTTGAGCTCCGGATACACGATCTTGGTGAACACAGTTTACAGTAATGATAGGTCAGAATGATGATAATAAGGGTAAAATGCCACATTCGGTAATCGAGTGAAGCCGTGAAAAAGATAAGAAGCACTAGCGATGTTTAGTAAATAGCTCAAACAACTTTGCAGAGGTCACTTTTCGATAAGAATAGTAGGAAAACTAACCACTACTATTGAAACTTCGTACAAATCACTATAACTACTCTTGCCGCCATCGGTCATGGATCTATAAGAAGCAGCTGGTTTGTACAAGAGTGAATACTTGCGACTATACAGGCTATAATGTAGGTATAGGACTTCGGCACTGTGGTAGTGTAGATTCGTACGAGATTATTTTACTTGATACATAACACAGCGACAAAGTATTGTTTACTGAGTGACGATTTCAATGCACAGTATATTGCTTATGATGTATAAATTTTGTTTGAAACCGTCATTCATTAAGTACTGTACAACTGTGTGTTGTACCAAATAAACTAATCTATTGTGGAATCACGCAAAGTACGACGTAAAATCTCCAAACAACCCTTGTTTTTGAAAAATAATCTGTTTGGTGCAACTCCAGAGGCTACGTCGCAAAGAGTTTAAGATTTGGGAAATATTGGAAAAAACGAAAAACGTTACCCGACTTTTAATTTCTGTATATAGCACTAGCTGAAATACACACATAACCAAATCCAAACTAACAAGTATTCAAAGCACCAAAAAAATCATTAGGAAAAATGAAATTTAGAATTGAGAGGAACTGCTGTCTAATCGCAACAAAAAATAAATGAGAACTGGGAAAATTTTACATCATTTTCCACAACCGAACTATCACATTGCAAAGTATAGGCATCATAATAAGAACTTAAAACTGTTGGCACAATGCAACAAAAAAGTAAGTATCAATAATTAGGATATGATTGATTCAGAGACGGTGCATAGTAGCTATGAGTTTCATTGGATGTTGGTGGTCCTGGTTTCGGCAGAATATTGCTTGGAGGTGGTGGTGGCATATGAGGACTGCCAGATTGTACAGAATTATAAGGACCAGACATGAGAGGGCTTTGATTCGGAGGGCCAGTTGGTCTTGTTGTTGCTGAGTTCATACTTTGACTGGGATGACCGACTGATGGTGGATACATCGGTGGATAGGACATTCCCTGCTGGAAATAGCACATACAACTCTAATTACTAGATTAACGCACGTTAGGTATGCAAACAAATCAAGAAAACACTACATAGAACTAGTATATCAACAGCTACAATCATAAAAAATAATTAGAATAACATGAGAGATATCTTAGGTATGTCGGTAATATTTTGAACGATAACACAACAATAGCAAATAATATAAGTGAAAAACTTGGGCACTGTGGTAGAATGTAGTTCCATATTAAACATATTAAACAAATCTAATATGGAAATAGCAAATAATCTTCACCAAAACATTAGCATCACTTACCACTTTTACTACTAATCACTTAAGTGAACTAAACGGTAGCCTACTTTAACGTATGTGAAGCGTTAATGTTTGCAGACTGCATATCTCTTAAAATAATCTTAAATCCGCATTACGGACTCAAGCGATTATAACCTATACTTCAGTTAAGTAACCAGGAAAAAGATTTTCTGAACATAATTCACTAAACTGAGTAACTTAGAAATTTAAATCACTACAATAGTCGAAACGCAAAACTCACGTGTGGAAACACTGATGTAGCCGGCGGCTGACTCTGTGTTACAGAATTTCTAGACGATCCAGATGGAGGCTGCAAAACCGGTCGCTGTGGTGTCCCTAAGCCAACAGACTGGTCGCAAGGTGGGACTACCGGTGTGAAGATGTTAGATGATGGGTGTGGAGGAGCACTGATCATATTACTAGGTCTGTTAGTGTTTGGGAAATTTCCGCTTTGCCGAGCATATGGGCCCATGTTGGGTGGTAAATTGGCAGAACCTAGAGGCTGATATCAAAACAAATTTGAACTTTACAATCTTGAGATAAAAGGTTAAAAAACAAGTTATGTACAAGGGATTTACTACGTAACGCTGTCTGCATTTCTACTTTTACTTATTTGATTAAAGTTGGCACGTTTCACCAGGTTTGGGAAACACAGACATGCATCTAGTACCTGACACCAGTTGTTTCTTAACCTAAAGGTTTCATTTAAGTATATCGACAGGGGTCTTTTGATAAGATTTCTTTCTGGAACGAGTTTTCTGTATTCGAACACCGATGGCTGCGTTAGATGCAGATCGGGTATAATATTCATATCGAGTGGAATCCATCATGAAGTTTTTTAACTCCAAAAAAGGCATCATCGTAGAGTTCTCATTTTCAATACCAAATCCTCGCGGATGATTCTTTAATGATTTTGAATTACGTAGATAGATGGAGAAGGTAACAAGATGCAGTGTGGTATGGATGAGCAGTTGGTCATCAAACAGTTCTGAAGACTGCGAAAAATGATCAAACAACGTCATGTGACCTTGGTTTTCCCATCGGACACTACTATTTGTGGTAGCTTAACCAGGTCATTACGCTTTATGAACCTTGTGCACATCCACGTATTGTTGGTAAATGTATCAATTCAATCCGATTTTCACGTATACAGGCATATTTCCCTTGTGTTAGCTGGTGTGACGAGTATGATCTTAGGATCACCTTTTCCGTAGCAAGCAGCAAAAGTATGTGGATAAAGATGCAATAGTCTTCTGATTAATACTCTGATTGATAAGTTTAAAGTGTTTGGGATGGGTTTCCCACCACATAAATGCAAAAAACCGCTTCAAGACTGGCTAGTATTGATGTCCTATCAGGCAGTAAGCAGAGAAGTGGTTGACCATGTCCACCAATTCACCTGTTTGGAAAGTCCTATCAATCTTGGTTGGTTGCTTTGTTGACGAAATTTAGATGCATGTAACAAAGACTCCAGTCACTATCGCTAACTTGTGACCCTGTAGAGTCGCTTGTGTCGATTAATAGTCGACTGTACTAAATACCACTGCGTTCTATCCCACTATATGGCCACTAAAAGTAGAGGATATTAAAAAGTTTTCAGTCCTCATCAAACGTTGTCATCGCAGCGCTGCTTGCATTTAACGCGACTACCACATGAACAAAATAGAACAGTAGGTAAGGTAATCAAGTCAGTTGTTCTAGATCTTCGGCGACTGAGTTGATACAGAGAGAGATGCATTCAGCAACCTCGTGCACATTCGTGCAGTAGGCAATGAACCATACTTATTATGTGGAATAATGGACCTACTTGGTTGCCTAAACCGCGGTAGGTGGAGCAGTGTTCGAACTTGTGACCTACTGGCTGGAAATCGACTCCCTAAACCAATGAGCCACAGCTCCACCTGAGTGGGTAGGGACGCGTTATGCATGACTGCCAACAGTCTAATGACTGAACAGAATTTAGTTGCACTACACTTTGTTGTTTGCGTTACTTGTTTTTTTATTCATAACTCTCCAGTTTTTGATCATTTTGTTTCTGCCTTTCCTCTCATTACGAAAGTTAAATCACTACACAATACCTCAAGGTGTCATATTTACAACCTCTGTTTGATAAAGAACTGAACAGAAGTACTCAAAGATGACAGTGTTCATTCAAGAAGTTCAACTGCCCGAACCACTAAAACATGAAAGCCGATATGAAACAGTAGTTAACACAATGAATTATTATTAGGTTCTCAACTATTAACAAAGGGTAGCGACTCAGCAAATTTATCCTTTATCATAACGAAGACTAAATCAAGTATATAATCAGTAAAGCATTCCTATTAAATTCTAGTACATGCAAATATATTTGAAGAATAAGAAATGAAAAATATAAAAAACAAGTGGTTATAAATAAGACGATATTCAAACAAAATGTGACGTTTATAAAATGAGACAAACCCTGAAAGGTTGAGTAGTTGGCTGTGGCAATGTTGGTACTGACGTACTAGACATCACTGGCAATCTGGCAACATCACCGCCTTGAACTGGAGGTTGTGGGTGTGCATTACTACTCGGGGTTGATAACGGTATTGGAGGTTGCATTGTGGATTGGTTAGGAGGATAGCTCGGATGCCCCGAGGATTGCTGGTAGAAATTCGGTATATTAGATGGACTAGATAAAGAGTTCGGTTGACTTTGCGGTGGCAGTACAGTTGAACCACAATTATGTAGTACTGATGCATTCTTTTCTACATTAGAATGAGTGGATGAAGTAGATAACTGACCAATGATCATATCAGACTTATTTCCCACTGCCGCTTGAAGTTCCACAGATTCATGTTCACCAGATTTTTCAGATATGATTGTCCTCTCATTGTTTAATGATCCAGATGTTGAGATACTTGGTTGTGAAATCACATGATTTTCCTGAAGAAGTTATTATTATGAATTAATAACTTTTATTCTTAATTTCTCTAAAGTTTATCGTTATCACACTTCTTTATTTTTTCTAATAAGATTACACAGAATGTTATTATTATTATTATTATTATTATTATATCGTTATTATTTTGAATTAAATTGTGTAGGAAATCGTATCTTAATAAATACTCGTATTACAAATAAACGAAAAACTATGAAAGAGCAAATAAAGTATAGATATACCTCCGTATTTGTAACTTTTATTCTTAATTTCTCTAAAGTTTATCGTTATCACATTTCCTTATTTTTTCTAATAAGATTACACAGAATGTCAACATAAATTGTTTTGTATGGTTACTGCACTCTGTTTACAAGGTATGAATTACTATGACGGACCTACTGAAAGTATCAAAGAAAAAGGAACCGAAAAGTTGGTGGCATATTTTATCAACTGAAACGCATATTAAAGCGTATTCTTCGTTCCGTGTACTTTCAATCTCAAAACTCTAAGAATATACGTACACAACATTACGAGATTTGGTCATGAGTCTTGATGAACCCTAATTAATGTTTATCTTCAACACAACTGAGTTTCCCTAACCACAATTTCCTTTATCTTATCTATCTCCTAACTTGGCGGCGAATGAATTACTATCCGCAATTGGATAAGAGATTCCAAGAACGAGTCGGATCAACCAGATTTTTCTCCTTCCCTAGCTATTGTAATGTTGGCATACTAACATCTGAGATGAGTATTATTTCTCACTCAATTTGGAAGTTTGAGGGGATTTATTTGTTGATTTTAGGTTCATCATGGACTGACATCAGTTGAAGAAACATTGAGGACCTGGGAGCGCTGAGCAGCTGTTTTGTCCCAGTATGGGACTCCGCAGCAGTGCGCACCCATGACCCCGACAGGGACCGAACCCAGGAACCTTCAGGTTTCACAGACAGCGCGTTACCGTTGAGCCACTAGGGTCAGTATCCAGTAGCCCATATTTCCTACTTCTGTCAGTTCACGATATAGAGTGACCTCTATCCAGTACCGTCGTTGAGTATTCTTCTTCATATCCAACTTGGTTGGCCATAAATGAGAAAATAAACTATTATATCAGGTCCTATGTTCACAATCCCTGTCATGTAAATGAGTACGCAGGAAATATACAAAGTTAATGCATGTTTTGTTTGAAAATAACCGAGTAGTAAGCATCAGTGAGTGATAATCTAATGTGGTTGTGTTGAGTAGTGTTCATGAGAGACTTTCAGTTTCTCCTTGCAAGATGTTTACTTATCAAGTAAGAGGACAAATACAATGTTTTTTATCACATAAAAACGCTTAAAAATGCACTCGTCTGAATGACAATGTGGACGTGATTCATACAAAATGATATTTGCTGCTTCACACTAATCACGTGGTGACGGTAATGAGCGAGTTGATCATTAGGAAACAGTACCAACTTTAGTATGTTCACGGTTGACAAGATCTTAATAGGGATATAAAAGGTTCATTATGAATTCGCCAAGTTATGTCACTTTTGATACTTTCATGATGTACTAACATCCATTAAAGACAATATAATGAGCATCAGAGCACGCTATGCATTGATAGGTGTGAAAAAAAGCGATTAGAGTTTAAAGATTTGTGACGCTCACAGGTACCATCATTCATGTATGGTACAGTTATAGAGTGAATGATGCAATGGTTAGAGACAGAATATTACAAAGGGATACAACAATTGATCGGGACATGAACCTTCACTGACTTAGTAGAGATGTGTCAGGCATGCTGAGAGATCGTCTATAGCGGCATACTATACTGGGTGGAGCACGATTTTGTTAGTAGTTAGGCCGAGGTATATCAGTCCATAAAGTGTCCGATCACTGGTTTGAGTTGCGCAAATTTCAAGGTTAGGTGTGCAATATGGCTTGAGTTTTAAGGTATGTTTCACAATTGATCATAATGGCACAAATACATACATATGCCTGTGGATTTTTGGAAATCTTATATTTATTTACTGTTTATCTATCCCTAAGCTTGATAAGAGTTTCGATAAGCAGAATTTTTTTGTCCTCCCCCCTACTGACTTCATTTATGTGCTTATACGTGTGGTGAATTCAAGAGACAGACTGGTAAGCCCGATAGTTTTGTATATACACCATCTACGGCTTAAGAACTAAAAAATTTCCAAGGAATATATGTTTGCTAACATGCATAAACTTCTTATTCCACAAGATAATCTAAGGAGTGTTTTTTGAACTCAAGTAATGTCTGACACAAGATGAAACTTGCATGTGATTAAAATGAACGCCCAATACGTAGTGCAAATTGTTTTATTTTAGTTAGACATCACCAGTGGGAGACTTGCTTTACCAGTCCACTTGGTCTCCCTTAGCATGTCATGATACAAGGAAATACGACAAAAGAAAGAGAAATAAGGATAGTGTGATTGAAAAATGTAGGAACTCATGCAACAAAAGAAGATAACACAAGCAACGAAATGTAAAATAACGGTTTAGATGAAGTTGTGAATGCATCTAAACCCCTTAGAACAATTTTGAGGCGTATGAAACAGTCTTCAACAATCGGTTTCTGTTATCTCATCGAGATCAACTAGGAAGTTTACATTTCTTACACAGCTCAATCCAACAGTCAAAGATTTCATCGATTGATAGCATGTTTTATTCTGATAACCCTTAACTTTTTTTCAGCCTAATTCTAAATCAGCTAATATCATACTTTGGGGTAAACGATGACTCGGTATGGAGTAGCAAGTGTTCCACTTAATTTGGTCGGTAACTGCTTACAATCTTATCCGCCAACTTATCTCTTTCATCTACAACTTTACAGCTAACCTCCATAATCCTCATATAGTGCTTTCAAAACATATGGGCAATGTACTAACATAGTGATAGTCAAATACCTTGAGTCTTCTCATATTCTGTATCTTAAAAGGTCACGTTTAACAGTCCTGAATTAGAATAAGTTATTTTAGCCTGAAATTCATATAAACTAGGCAATACATAAACTAAACTTTAAGAAAATTATATTTAAGCTGTTTTTCTATTCACACTTACGTGAGATTTCGGTCTCGAAGTGTCTTCTGAATTTCCGGCTGGTATTGATGGGTAGGTAGGTGGATGAGACGAAGAAATGTTCTTAGGTCGAACACTAGATAATGGGTCGAATTCATTATTACGCTCCAGGTTGTGGATTGACTGTGGTAGAATAGAAAGATACAATTGTTTTCCGAATTATCACTTAAAGATTACAACTTTTCTCAGCAAAATACACTAACATGTAGTTGTGAAATTAAAACGCAGCAATATGAATGCCTGCATACACATAATAAATGAGTAAAAACAATGCAATTCAGAATGGGTTGGTGAGTTAGTGTATAAGTTACACCTATTTTCAGGACTGATGCAAACAATTAGCAGTCCAAACCTCAGGAATGGAGCAGGGTTCGAACTCACATGTGACCTAGTAGTTTAAAGATTTGACTACACACACTAAGTGCAATTCCACATAAAAATAAATGGTGCTTTTACACAGCTGATGCCAAGTATTCCCACAAGACCATAACATACAATAAGAACTGAACATGTATCAAAACTCATACGGCAAATGTTTTAAGTTGCTACAGAATTTCGTTGTAGTACCCTTACGGTTGTCACTCTATGGTGAAATCCCACTTGATATGCTAAATGTTCTGTGGTTTGCTTCATATTGTGTCAAAGTTAGTATTAAGTGAGAATAGATGGGTAACGTCATAAAGTGATTGGTTCGTTGTCACTAATGCCTATGTAACAAACACTATGTGAGAGAACGGAGGAATAAAAATTCTGCTACAGGGTTGTTAAGTTTCTACATATTTTGAAGCTTAACAAAATATCACACATCAGATTTTTACAAGCTGTTTAACCTTTGAAAGGAAGTTACGAAGAGAATTGTAAGTCAAGTTATTCAGACTAGAATAGATCAGTAAACAGGCCTGTTATAAAGAATAAACAAAAAACCATCGAAGTTTTACATAATTTTTCTGTGCCTATTCAATTACGAAAATTGACAAGCCCATGAAAATAAATCACAGATGAAACTTACGTCGGTTTTACCTACTTTCTCATCAAGCTGACTACAATCAGTAACAGAACACATTCCAGAAAAGTACCATTTGGATGTAGACTCTTCTGAATTCGATCGGCTAAGTGAAGCATATGATTACCAAGCCGTTGAAGTTCAAAAATTAGTGAGATCTGGTCCCCTGATTCAGATATCTTCCCTTCGTCACTCCTCTTGTTTTTAGAAGGAAAAGTACATTTCGATATTTCAGGTTTCCCTATAACTACGAAAACACAACAAAGAAACGCAGAAAAATTTATAGAAAATTAGGAAGTCAGTAAACATAAAATCCTGCTTAAATGAATAGCTGTTACAATTTGCGCTACAATAGTTTAAATTTGGATGATGATTTAAAAGTACGAATATTTTCAAAGAATAGTAAAAATAGACGCATGGCAATCAGTTCTTTTAAAATCCACATTAAAGATATGCGGAGCACTACAGTATGAGTTCACATGGAATAAGATTAGCAGTAATCAACCAAGTGAGGTTTGTAGAGATAAAATAATGGTATCCATCAAGAAAATAGTGGTGAAGAACTGAACATATACCCCGAATGACTACACATTTTACTCTTGGTTACCTATATAGCTGACCGTACAACAAGTCAGCATAACAAGCGGATATCAGATAGATAAGTTGATTACAGCTGAACGTGCTGAAAAACAAACCGAATCAGTTCCATGTGTTTCCAAGTTTTATCTTCATACTTAATCAACCATAATAACCTTGTCGAGATGTTTTGGTTGAAACCTTTGTTTTTTAAGGTTGTATTGTGTCAAAGGTAAGCTAATTTGCAGAATGAGAAAAAATAGCCTTTTCAGGCGTTTCTAGTAGTTCCCTCTTCCTTGATGTAACGATAGACGTTTTTCATAAATGACAGTATTATATAATTACATCTTATTTGTCGAAATGAGGGAATAGTTAAGGTTAATGCTAAAAACAGTACGGTATTTCCTAATACAGAGTAACCTAGTACGACAGATAAGGCTTTTCAAATACTGACGGAAACCAAAAGTTCTACGGTTATGTTTGATTCATATCAAACACGGTATTTTGGGGTGACTTTGGTCAGACATTTTCGTCAATTCCATAAAAATATTTTAGACTCCTATTTTCACACAGAAGACAAAGTTTACTGAATAGGACGGTGCAACCTGAGCTTTCTTTAATCATTATAAGTATTGTCTCTCAATCTTCGCTTACCTCTTTTCATCAAACCATCCATCAGGGCAACTTAGAATGAGCAGTGTGTGGCAAAATGGAATTAGGAAAAGATATATCATACAGTCAGCCGGTACATATATACTCAAAGTTATGTGTATATGCAAATTCATGTAATGATTTCAAGACGAAACTACGTGAAGAGTACCTAGTTCCATCATGATTTCATAAAGCTCTAGTTTAGAAACTTGGTTAGTGGCTGATTGTTGAAGATGATACTGAAGCTATCATCGTTCAAGAGCAATTTCGAAAAAACGGCAAGACATAAGGTAAAAGACAGGACCCCGTACAGAATTGCATAGAATCAAGCTGTCATACTAAGTGAGAGTAGACAGAAGTTAGTAGAACCCGATACTGGTAATCAATTAGGTCTAATCAACGACGGGATAATACCAGCAACATCATATACAGTTAGATTAGGTTAGATGAATGCAAGACTAAGGCGTGGTCCCAAAACATGAAGCATCTGAGCCGAGTATGCGGATATGTAGACCATCTGATCAGGATCCGTGGCACGCTAGGAATCAGTGGTTGAAAAGTCTCAGTGAATTGGCCGAAAATCGGTTACAAATATGTTCACTCTTTGGCACCTTCTAAAGCTTGGACATTTTCAATAACACCGATTTTCAAATTCTTTATCCTCTCATACACTTCTGTTTACTTTAATATCACTTTCTCTAGGTACTCGTTCTTTGCCTGTTGTGGTGGTGTAGCAATTCGAACCGATGCACTTCTATGGAAGGTTCTATATTGATTTTGCCTATCTGCTGTTCAGACAAAACTGATGAACACGATGTGAATGAAACTGTTAATGCGGTAAGCGAACGTTATTTGTCGCTACTCTTGTCTTGGTCAATATCCAGGCAATTTTACTAGACCTTTACGATTATTTGGTTGCTTGTGGTCCCTTTATTTTACTCGAAGGTGAGTGACATCAAACACATATGGAATCAGTCAAAAGGATGCAGGTCTGGCCTAGATTAGTTCTAAGTCCATGTTATCACATCCATCATGCAGTTGAAGGATATACGTTTTTAATCATCGTAATCACCACCGTCAACGGTGAAGAATTGTTGGAGCCATTATGAATAAATACATACACTTTTTGAAGTCAGAAATATATTAAGATCATTAATACAATAAACATATTCATGGGGAAACTGCGGGTCAATGTAGACTGCAGAGCGAACCATAAGCAAATAGTGCCAGATTTTAAGCCACAGAGCCAAAAACGCTACATTGCAATTCACTCAAAATTCGTCAGCAAATGGGAAACGGTTTCCAAGGAAGACGAGAATTTCTACTTTACATGTTGAAAAAAGTATCGCCTAGAGTAGTATACGTTTCACTGTTCACATTTTCACATAACATTCATGTACTATCTATGAAAACACATCTGTTATATTGAAATATACGATTTTTCTCTTTTGGTTTCACTGGAAATATTATATTATAGACGTGTGTACTGACAGATACATCTATAACATGGATTCGATCCTTGATTCCGTTACTAAATTACTTACATCATGCATTCAACATTTTTATTAATCACTGTAATTTAGCAATGTTACTTCGAACCACTGTCACTCTCCTCCTCACATATAATACCCTAATAAAGCCTGAAATCACTCAAAAACGGAAACAAACAGGAAGTAAAACAAACAATATCGACAAAAGACATGGCACTGCTTCGTAACGGTTCAAACTACTACACCTCACATCACTCATCACCACCTCAAACCAAAATGTAATAAGAGAAATACAGAAGAAAGCAGCCAGAAGTGGTAGAGCCATCAAAAGAGAGGAAAGTAAAATGAGAGAATATTGGAATCCAACATGATGATTAAGATGAAGATAATGTATGTGGACACATCTGCACCATGTCAGTCAGGGTCTTCAACCACTGGTTTCTGCTGACACGCGAGCCACAACTGAGAAATCCACATTTCTCTACACGGCTCAGACTGATGCTACGTAGTAATCAGGTCACTTCTTATCTTTTCCAGCCCGGACCTACTTGAGCCAAATTTGTGCAACCAGACAGACTTTGACTGGGCGTGCGTGACACATGTCAGTGACGGTTCACAACTCCGTCGACTGACTTTCCTCCTCATTCTAAAACGCTACACCTGACATCTACGTTACTGACGTGGTGACATCACAAAACATGGCCTATTCTACGAAGGCAACAGTGGTAGAACACCTGAAACCTCCTCATGTTCTCTATTTCCGATGGCCATATTTCACAGCCATATGGTCAAATAAAGCGAACTGCAGCGCAGTTTTCAATAGGCAATCGGATATCATGCAGGCACAATAAGCGGTGGAAGTTGACAAATTTCAATCAAGCCTCTTGTATTCGTACCGAGATTTCGTCAGTCAATGATCCACCAAGGCTGATTAGACTTAGTAGGTAGGTGAAGTGGTCTACACGCCCAGCCACTTCACTTGCTATCGTTAGATAACGTGTCAATGAAGACCAGTTTTAGAGTAACCATTTACATTTGGGTGTGAGGAAACGCACCCTAAACATTGCCAAAAACTGCCATTAAATGTGTTTAGAAGACTCTGCACCTTGTGAGCATCTTCACCTGACAGAAACGTGTCACCCATGCATTCTACGTTCTGTGATAAGATGCCTCCCTGTAAGCTTAGATGAGGATATGGAGTCCTCCATAAGACGCCTATAACAAAAGCAAGTAATAATGTAGAATGAATACGACTCACCATAGACTCCGACACGTCTATGAGTGTTTGATTACAGAGCTTTTGACGCAGTGATGTACTTACTCGATACCCTTTCCAGTGAGAGACGCTGCAATAAGACCTTTTGATAGATGGAGTCAAATGCTTCCTCCAGCCAGCGATGAGCATCGGTTAGTGTCCGAGTTTAAGAATCCAGTGGAGTGAATATCTTGTTGATATATATACATCCAGATCTGAAAGCTGCCTACTTTCTCAGGTTTTGCTGTTCCCAAGCTTCGCATAGATGTGTGATAATTATATAGCCAAAACTTTACACACTACGTCGGTTTGATTCCCTTATGGTTATCACAAGGGGATTTCTCTTTTATCTTGAGAGGTGGGGCAGTCAGTGATTGAGACTTTTTAGAGAGGATCACATCTGACTCCCATATAGCAGTTCAAACCAGTTTTCTCGGTCAATAATCAGCGGTCGCTATCCTAAGCACCTCAGGCACCAATCCATTTAATCCTACTGCACTTCATTGTTTTCGGTTATTTACAGCTTTCCCGACTTTTGAAAGTTTCGTAGAGCCTATCTCAGTGTTACATTCAGGATTGGATTGGGTAGTGGGCAACGAAATGGTAGCTGGAGACTAACCGGATCGCTGAGCCCATCGTCTTTGTTGACTCCCTTGGGAATGAATCACAGACGCATCCTTATCCGCAACAGTCTCATTAACCGCTGGTGTTTTCGCTAGTTTCCTCAATAACTATCTGCTGTTGCCTATCACACTGGCCTCTCTATATCTTTCGCCTTCGCTGTCTACCACTAGCGCAGACTTCTTGTCAATCCACATCTCAATCCCTTTCACTCTTCGTTGTACCGAGCCCTTATGAGTGCGGTTAAGCACACCAATTAATTCACAGGCTGCTGAGATCCGCTGGTCCTTTCTAACCAATTTCTGAGTCAGCTACGGTTTACAACGCTGTTTAACAAGACGGAAGATGACATCTTGCTTCTTCTGGATGAGTGCTGTTGTTTTAATAACTACCTAACCAGTTTCCCACTGAAAGCAGTCCTAGTATTTCCTTTTTGAACTTTCTTCACAATAGTCCCGTTGCTGCAGTTTCTCTACATCCATTTAGGCACAGAAACCGTTGAGTTGAGGTCAGTGGACGCCACATCAGACAATATCTCTTTATCTTTGAAGTTCATGCTGGTCAAAAACAGCTGGTTGTTCGAACACAGTTGTAACAGGCAGTCACAGTTATCTGCTCGTTAGGTTGGTCTTCTGAAAGTCCCACCCAAGTGTCATTCTGCCTAACTTAACCTACCCAACTGTGCACTGAAATTATCTACTACGATAATCAAGTCCGAGCTGTCGGCTTACGGTAGGAGACTACAAAATGTTCAGTAGAACTCAACCTTCACTTCTTCCGAACTTCAGTCAATGGTGAGTAAGCAGAGATTACAAAGAGAATGGCGTTTTGCTGATCTTTTTAGTCCTCACTGTGCTGTTCAGTGAGACATCACAGGGACTGTCAACTGTGATCCAGTACAGCAGTGAACCTTTTGCTATACCTGTGCCCGGAAGACAGCGAGAAATCGCAATCGAATCTATAGAAACTCGAGGGGTGAGTTCTGCGCGCTTATAACATTAATAAGGAATTGTCACACCTGTGCGTCCCATGAACAGTACACATTTTTTTGGAGGTTCCAAAGTTTTGGCTAGAGAAGATTGTGGGCAAAAAGGGGTGGGTCAAGATTGTAATCAGAATATTTTATTGCGAAATTTTTTCGACCCATCGGTACACTAATAAACACTTCATAATCAACACCCTATGAAGCTATGGGCTTACGGGATATTTTGATTATTCGTGATAAAACTTATCACTTGCTACTCTACCAAATTAAAAAAACCCTATAATTGCACATTTTGGCACGGATTTGCAAGTCAAGTACTAGGCGATGAATGCATACGACTGACGCTAGATACATCTGATGGGTACTTGATGGTTACGGGTTTGCTTGAGGGTAGTTTGGAATGTTGTGGATGACAAGCTTAGCATAATCGGGCGCATCTAATGGATGGGTCATTCGTACTTATAGATGCTTTGTGGTTTAATTTTCCTACATTCCCACATAACATCCTTCACTATTTTCCTGAACATATTGCAGAAACATAATTATGCGTTTCACTTTGTTCCTATAGTCGAGCTTTTACCTTGACTTTATAGAGCCACGTGAGTTCAGTAAAGTAGTGCTGCCCCTCCTGAAACAATATCGATCGAGGAATCAAAGGTGAAGTCAGATGCGGAGTTAAATCATGAATGACAGACTGGGAAGAAGAACTGAAGGGTCAAAAATGCACATCAGCGTTGAAAAACCTGTCATTTTGACGGAGGCTTTCAGTGAAATTATTCGTCATGGCTTCTTGCTTTGCCAAACGTACACGTCAGATGAGCACCCATTACTGCTTCAATAATCGGAGCCTCAAACTTCAAGTTATTTGTTTCACATGAGAAACAGTTATAAGATACCTGTCTACTACACTTCAGGAAAGCTCGGACCAGATTTCCGTGCGAAACGTTGGAATGATTTGATTTCACATCCCCTGCGACTTCAACACAATCTATATCTAATGTCACTAAGTTTTTATTGAGTGATTACCTATGGTGTGTACAAGACCAACAATTACAACTAAAATAACTACTCCATGAACCTGTTAGTTCCAGTCAACAATGAGAGAATACCATACACGATGCATCTTAAATAAGAAACATACCGAGAATTTTGATTTGCAACACTCTACTGGACTGGATCGCAAGCGATAAGTCAGACTCATCCCCAATTGTTATGAAATCCCCATCTGATAAATGAATGCATAAATCACAAAAATACCCTCATCTTTGTATTTGACCAACAACTCATCCTCCTTCGTGATGTGCTGCTTGAAGACACGTTGCATCATCAGAACAAGTTCATCATACGTTATTTCTTCATTATGTATTGGAATCCGGCGCAAATCGTCTCCAAGCTGTGCTTTAATGATAAGTTTGCCCGACAGATCCATTATGCGTTGTCACGAAATATGCCAACTGTATGCAATAATGATACGTCACTTGCATGTGACCTCAGCGCTTTTATTGGGTGCGGTTGCACGCCCAATGTCCAATATATTCTGACTCAGGTATCAAAAATCCAAATCTCATATGTTACAGTAGAGACACCAGGATGCCAGCTTATATAATTCCCTGCAAGTTAAAAGGATATTTCACCCTTTAGGTCCTAAGTGTGTGTTTTCGGAAAACGTTATTCGTATTCACGTTTTTTTCTCAGATCACAAAACAACTGAAACATCCAACATACGACATCAATAGTGTGAACAGAGGAAACCTGCAATTTTCGTGCTCTCGCCTCTAGGTCTTGATGCTTGATTCTTTTTGTTTGGTTGTACTCCCTGGATGGTCTCAGAAGTCTTTGTGTTTTTCCTGCTTATTGCTTAGGTGGTAGGAATTGTTTCTTTGAAAGTATTTTATTCGCAAATTGCAGCATGGTTTGTTTTGTGGGACAACGGGGCCACCGATAAGACTAATTAAGCGTTGGCAGTTACCGTTTTTGTAAGCACCTGTAAGTAAGTAAGTAAGTAAGCGTACTAGAAATAGGGTGAGTGGGGAATGAGAAAAAGGGGAGTGAAAAGTACCTATGGAAAGATAAGTGTTGCAGGCAACAATATGGAGAAGTGATGCGTCTCACTGGAGGTACTAGGGCTGTGGAATACAGGGGTGGGGGAGCATATCACCAGTTGCTGCCGACAAATGTTCGTGGTAAGCCATTTGAGCTCAGGTACTTATCCAGCAGTCGTTTGAAGTAGTCAACTGATGTAGCCGTGGCTACTTCCTTAGATACAGCATTCCATAAGATACATATTCTGTGTGAGAAAAAGTTTGAAGTCACTCTCGGCTTTGCTCTATGGTGGGATATGCGAGTGGGGTTTCCATAGGACTGTCGGTTTTGGACCGACAAAGTTGACCTCTTTGGGTGCGACATCCCTTTATTATTGTCAGCATTATCCAGAGCGTCAGAAAGATTTGGTCCTAGATCACTTTCTGTGGATACCTCGATTAGAAAAACCAAGCGTCACGTTAGAATACGGACACCAGGATGACAACATATGTTGGTCCCTGTAGAGACAAACACGACAGCTCGATTCTAGGTCTGTGTCATTGGAAAACGCTATTCACGTACATCGGTCGCACTTTATTTCTAGGTAGTAAACCAACCAGAAGAACCTAAATGGCAGTTTTTTCCTTATTCCTCGGGTAGAATGCTGCCCATGGACTACAAAGAAACGGCATATTCGACCACAAGACTCTAAGTGCATGTCTAGCCACCTTTCTCAGGCATGAGATGAAGGAATCATAACATCTTCGGGATAGAGATGAGATGGTTTGCAGATCTCAACTGCGAAAGAGCTGTAACAAGCTTCAGTCCATATCCCATACAACTAAGATAAGGTTTTTAGTGTGGGCGTAGAAATGCAGTGTCGTAGGCAGCATGATGATACATATTAATGGAATTCACGCCGTCTACAACTATTGTCTAACAGCGTCTTGAGCTGTCCA